CCTCAGTCTCGCAATTATCCGCAATCTTCGCCTCAACAAAAACCCACGTGCAATCCTGCACAACCACCACAACAATCACCTGGTTACCCTCAATCTTCTCCACAACAGACTGCCAATTACTCTCAGCTTCAGTCGTCGAAGAACTCGGAGGAGTACGCTGCTCAAGCCACGGTGTCACCTGCGAATTATCCTCAAGACTTCAAGCAAAATCCTTCGTACATTCAGCAGTCACCTACAATATCGTCATCTGTAAATGAAGCTGAACACCGGACGGAATATCTGAAGTCTAACACTACTGAGAAACCTGCGACGGGCGATCAACAGAGAAATTTTCCCGTTCAATCGGAATCATTAAACTTGAATGCGAATCATCAGATCTATCAATCGCCGAGTCAGTATCCTCCAACGTATCCGAACAGTTTTTCCAACATCGAGGTTCAGAGATCTGCTTCGAGACATGGCGGTCAGCAACAGACACAGCAACAACAACAATCGACACCGCAAGAGTCACGGACCGGTTTCACCGAGATACAGCCACGCGGTTTCCTCGGCAAAGCACCGTCCGGTAGCAGTGATCAATTACCCACGTCTGCACCAGATCAGCCGCAGTTGTTGACATTCCAACAGAACTTGACAACAGCCCACGAATCGCTCTATCCAAGCGGCTTCCAGCCATCCGGTTACTCGCTACCGCCACCAAATTCGAGGCCGGTATATCCTAGTCCGCATTATTTCGACGCCAGCTCCAAGTCTGCCGGTGGTGGAGGAACATCTGGTAGTCCCTCCAGCAATCCTCCTCCGATGAAGAAACGCGCGTACGAGCCGCCTTCCACCGAGTCCAATACGCGGGGTCTACCACAGGAGAGCACAGTGAGCACGCGTCCGAGTCAGGAGCAGTTTCCGAGTTTCGAGCCGATGATGACTCTCTCGCAACCGGAGGCCGTATCGGTCAGTCAGTTTGATGGCACGCCGTTCGTTGGTGGCCTGGTCGATTCTATGGCGACCAATTCGGCGTATGCACGGCTTAGCCTCGGTCTAGTGGGTCGGGCATCGGGTAAGGAGCAGCAGCAATTACTAACGATTCCACGACCACCACCTGGGACGAAGCCGGAGCATCTCGCCGCTTATGGTCGCAGTGCCACGCCCGCCGAGCTTGAGCAGCTTAATCTGCTACAAAGCTTGCAAGCGGCTAAAAACAGCCAGGGCATTCTCACTATATCGCGACGAGCTGGTGAAAGCGACGTGCGAGCGACTCCCATGGGCACGATAACGCCCACCGTGACGCCGTCCAAGACGAAGAGGAGCCGGAAAAGCAAGCATCCGCAACAACAAGAACAACCGAGCGCGACAGTCGCAGTGACGACCGTAACGACGACCTCCGTTGTCGCAGCGACCGCCGATCA